GTCATGCCAGGCACCCAAAGCAGAAGAAGGTAGGCAGGGTGGTCAACTCCAAAATTCTCACATCAGGCAAGAAAGAGGTTCTTGAGAAGATGAACCTAAGGAAGAAAAAAAGAGACTGATCAAGAAGAAGAAGCCGACACTGAGGGTGGAAGATTGAAGTTGTAGAAGAAATGAGTAAGAAAATGAAGAACAAGATTAGAAGATTAATTACCAAAAAAGTTCAAGGAGGAGTGTTGGAATGTGAACACTTTTTGGTAATAGATGAAGAAAAGACATTTAAGAAGAAAAGGCAAACAAGAAGAAAAAAGAATTTAAGTTTTAGGCAAATTTCTAGTTTAGGAATTTGTAAATGAGAATAATGGTTTTCCTTTCCTATTGTAAGATGTATTAGGAAAGAAAAATTGGTTTAAGACTTTATTAAGTTAAAATAGGAGAATGATTTAAAGTAAAGAAGTTCTATTAGGAATAGAAATATGAATCCTACTAGAAAAAGAGTATCCTATATTACCTATAAATAGAGGGGTTAGAACCAATTCAATATTATGAGAGAGTGAAGTAAAGAAAATGAGAATGTAAGGATACAAGGGGTTATAATGTAAGGGCACCAAGGGGTGGTGTTAAATACCATAGGAACAAGAAGTTCAGTTGAAGAATTAGAAGATCCTACGATCGCTCATAATGAAGATTGATAGTGTGATGAAACACTTGTATTGTATTCATATTATTATAGTGAAAACTCTCTCATATATGGATGTAGGCGAATTATATCAAACCACGTAGAATATCATATGCCTTTATATGTGTGTTATGTGTTGTTCTTTATTTTAGATTTTTTTTACTCTTCCATTACTTAACAAAAATTTACTTTAAACCTTAAGAGCCTTGAAAATGATCACTGGAGGTTGACAAATNAAAGACAACTGCATATAAGAAAGAGAACTTTACAGGTCCCCATTGATGCAGTTTTAATTTTTATTTTGATTCCCAAAACCATCACCCAAAATTGCAGTCAGTGGAAGATCCTGTAATTCATAAAGGAGCAAGAAGATCAAAGAACAATTGCTATGGCTGGAGGTTTGTTATTTACTTCCGCATATATTCCATGGAGATTTTAAACTGAAATTGATTGTGTTATCAATGAATATTGGAATATGAATATGTTTTACATTTAGATGTGAGGCCTTTCAGATTAGTCATCTTTGTTTTGCGGATGACTTGTTCCTATTTTGTCATGGGGACTCTCGGTTCAGGTGCTTCGGGATGCCCTCACGGAGTTTACCAACTTGTCGGGTCTCTCCCCTAATTTTTCGAAAAGTTCATCTTTCTTTTGTAACATAAGTCTTGACCATAAGATCCTTATCAAGAATATTATGGGTTTTGAAGAGGGTCAACTTCCTGTCCATTATTTGGGGGTTCCCCTTGTCACCACTCGCCTCAGCCATAGAGATTGCCTCCCGTTGATTGATAAGCTGGAGAGTAAATTGTCCTCTTGGAAAAATCGATGTTTATCCTATACAGGTAGGCTCCAATTAGTGGTCTCAGTCCTTTCATCTTTACAAGTTTATTGGGCCTCTGTCTTCATGCTTCCATCTTCAATCCTTAAAGTTATGGAGATATGAATGAGATCTTTCTATTGGGCTGGGAGCGACATGGTTCGAGGCAAAGTAAAGTGGCCTGGAAGGACATTTGCAGTCCTAAGGAGAATGGGGGTTTGGGTATTCACTCCCTTAGGGATTGGAATCTGTCTGTAATGATTTTTCACATTTGGAAGATTGTTTTCGGAAAAGAATCTCTATGGGTCAGATGGATTCATACCTATCATCTTAGAGGTCATAGTTTTTGGGTTGTCCATATACCTGCAGACACTAGTTGGTGTTGGCGAAAGTTGCTCAAGATAAGAGAGAAAGTTAGAAGTCACATTGTGGTTAATATTTGGGATGGTTGTTCTACCTATTTCTGGCATGACAACTAGCACCCTCTTGGTCCTTTGGCTTCTCAAGTGCCCTCAAGAATGTTCGTTTGTTTGGGCTTAAGTTGAGAGGCCAGGGTTAGTGATGTTTTAGAATCTGGGCAGTGGTCATGGCCTGAATACTTTCAGGAAAATTACTCTTTTATTACTAATCAGGTACCGCCCCTCCCTACTTCTAATATGGAAGACATTACTCTTTAGAGAACTTTGGATGGTAGGAAAATGAAGTTTTCTCCTCGGCAAGCTTGGAAAGATCTTTCCCTGGACTATCCTAGGGTGCCTTGGCGTGACCTCGTTTGGACTGGTACATGCATTCCAAGACATTCTTTTATTACTTGGTTGGCTAAAAAGCATAAGTTGTTAACTCATGATAGGATGAGCCGTTGGTCTCATTCTGAGCAGTTGACTTGTGCCATATGCGAAGGTCCCCCTGATTCTCATGATCACTTATTTTTTTACTGTCCCTTTTCTAGTGAAATCTGGAGTTCTGTCCAGGAAAGAGGTAATTTTCAAGTAAATGTTACAGGATGGGAGAATTTTATTTCATGGTGTGCTAGTAATTTTAAAGGTAAGACTGTTGGGGCTGTTATAAGTAGACTTCTACTTGGTGCAGTGGTGTATTTCATCTGGCAGGAAAGGAACTTTAGGATCCTTAGAGGCCAGAATAGAAACAAAGATACTATTAAACATCTGATCTTTGATGCGGTGAGACTCAGAATCATCACTCTTCCCTTTAAACAAAATGAACGGACTCGACGAATAATGGAAGATTGGGGTATTCCTTTGAGGGACCCTGGACTTGCTAGGGGAGAAACCTCTACTTCAAGAATATGGCGATAAGATTCTGGTTTTGCTTCTCCCTTGCTATGGTGCAAAATCAAATAGGAAGTCACTGTTGATTTTTTCCATTTTACTTATCTTTTATCTCTATCTATCTTGTTTGGTTTTGCAGCATGGTTTGTAAGTGGTTTTGGACTGACATGGGGTACAATCTATCAAACTTGGGAGATCTTGCTGTGGTAATTTGGGAGCAGCAACAACGCTTAAAAATTATTGAGATCTGGTGGTCTAACAGAACTTTTACATGGAGAAATTGTTGTTTACTAAAAGGAGTCTGTTCTGGAGGGCAAATTGAAATATGGTTGCCTGGCTTTAGTTGGTGTTGACAGAGTGGAGGCCGGGACTACTGGATTTCTAAATTAATATGGAAAAAGCTGCATCATCAACTTAATGTGATGGGTTTTTTGCTCATGCTCAACCTTTATAACAAACAATCGTTAATTCTTTTGGATAAACACAATTTCTATGACAGGCCTAAACTTTGTAAATACGATTTTTTGTCCTCAGGCTGGTTTTTGAGTAAGCTTGATGCTTTTAGTAACTGTTACCAGAAGATGAATATGTGGGAGAACAAGCTGAGATTGTGCAGATTCTGGCCTATTTATAGAATGCATCCTGTTTGGCTTCATAAGCATTTAGGGAGTTTACATAATGCTGTTCCAGATTATCCTATTGGGAGGGATGGTATTTCAGATTATCGTTTCAGGCTGGCTTATCTACAGTATCAGAATATGAAGTTTACAGTTGTGGTGGTTTATGGGAATGTTTTGCTTCTGGAGAAATTGACAGACGTTCGTTAGCCTATGTTTTCAGTTTATCTAGTGGGCTGCTTTGTCTGTTTTTGTTTGTTGTATGGGTCTCTTAGGATCTTTATTTTGTCTAAGCCTGGGCTGATTTGGTTTATGGTTACAATTGCGTGAATAGTCTGACTTCATATGTATAGCTTTGATTTTTATTTTCTTAGGCTTGTCCAAGAATTTGTGGCAGTGGATTTTCTTTTCCCTGCTTTTTTGTATTCGTTCTTTCTTTTTATACAATTACCTTTTACCCAAAAAAATTAAACAACTATCAGGAAAATTACAAAAGGCTAAAAACTTGCAAAAACACCCCTAAAATTAATAAAAAGGTCCAAAAAAAGATTTTGAAAGGCTAAAAAAATGACAAAACTCGTTTTATAGCAAGCCTAACTTGTTTGGCCGTTTCAGATTTCCTCACTAAAAATTCTGATACTATCGATGCTATTCGTCCCATGGGGCCCCTGCATCAATCAAGCTCCTCAAGAATTCTTCATGTACCTTAATTAATTTGAAGTTAAATTAAATGAAAACAAATAAAAAAGGTTTTTTTTTTTTTTTTTTTTGAAAATGTATTTACGATTTGTTTAGCTTAAGAACAAGGACACTACTCATATTTGAAAACTTATCATATATGAGATACTATTACTTAGGGGTGTTCAGTTCCGGGTACCCTGCACTTTTTGAAGGAACCGGAACCGAACCAATGGTTCCTTGAAATTTGGACCAAACCAGAACCTACATTCCGGTTCCTAGGTACCCAGAACCATAACCTATAACAACGGTTCCGGTTCCGGTTCCTGTTCTGGGTACCCTATAAAATTACATGACCCCCTAAAAGTTTATAAAATGGCAAAAAAACTCTTAAAACTTACAAATACCCCCCTACTTGACACTTGTTAACAAAATAAAATTACAAATTATAATTCAAAATTACAAACTCCATTACTTTTAAAGATAGATTCTCAGAATTCAAACCAACTTACTTTAAATGTTATGAAATTAAATATAAATGTATTCCATTTATGTGCCTTCATAAATGGCAAGCTTCCCTCCAACACGGCATCTTTTAAATGGTACCTATTGACAGATTTTGTCAGTGGGGGCAAGAAAAAAAATTAAAACATTAAAAATACAAGAATTGATCATCTATATAATAAAAACGTGAGACATAGATTAATATTACTACTAAAATAGATGAAGATAATTTACTCAGGAGGAAAAAAAGAAAAAAAAGTATTGTTTTGGAATTGTAAGTTATATTGGTTATTTTGCTTATGTACTGGATGGTCTATATTCAATCACAAGTTTCGAGAGAGGGGAAAAAAAAAAGTGCTGGTTTTATGCATTGAGACTACTTCATGATATAAAATAAACGATTTTTATTATTAAGAATATTAACCCAAAAAATTAGGGTCGGAGGGGGCATGAAGCCCCGCTGAGCCTTTAGTGTCTCCATACCTGACAGCAATGAAAATATTCATAAGATGTATAACTAGGAATTGAATTGAAGGAAACAAACCAACAATCGACAGAGGCTTTGTCCTGAACTATGAGCATGGAAGGAGCAAGAGAAACTCCATCTTCATTTTGAACAAAGTATCTGCAAACTGGTGCCAAACCATAGAGTCTTTGGGCCTGTCCATCTTTGTTGGTGACAAGTTTACATGTGAGGATAGAGTGAGAAGCAAGGAGGCGTAGGATCCTGTCAACTACTACTGGGGCATCTTGGTTCTTCGACCGCAAATGAGAAGCAATCTCAGAAGAAGAGAGGTGAGATGGGCTAGCTTTTGCCATGATCTCTAGCAAGCCAAGCTCGATGGCGGCTTTCATGGTCATAGGGAGCACTGTACCGGTGACGAGTTCCATGGCAAACAAGAAATCTTCTTGATCATTACCATTCTGGGGTTTAAGCTGGTGATTGAATGAACTCATATTATTCTGAATTACTATTTGGATGCAGGATAAGGCGAGAGTTATTTGAAAGGTGGTTGAGAGGAAGTGTGCTGTTAGTTCATGGAATGGCCAAGTCGTAATGTAATGGCTAATGGCCCAGGTATATGTTAAATTATAAGATATCATCAATCGAGGTATACTTTTTTAATGAAATGCTTAGAAAAAGACAAATTTCAATTTGTTCAATTTAGAGATATTAAATAGTAATTTTGTTTAATTTAAAGTTTAAAAAATTAAATAGTAACTTCGTTCAATTTAGGAGCACTTGTTAATTTAAGGAGATTAAACAGTAACTTCGTTCAATTTAGGAGCACTTGTTAATTTTAACAGAAAACAACAAAAACAATTAGATACCCCTAGTTATTTATTTGGTTTTAATCTTTCAATTTTAAATTTAAAAACAAAACAAAAAAATCAGTTAAAATTAAAATTTGTCTGATTTCAAAGTTTAAATGTTATAAATAATAAGAAAATAAAATAAAATAATGTAAATAAAAAAGAGAAAAGGCAGTTTTTTTTTTTTTTAAAGAAAAAAATTTGCACAAAAGAAAGAACATTTATTTCTATTTTCAAATTTAAAACATTAAAAACATAAAAATTTTATTAAAAAAAAAAAGAGAGAAAAGTCGATGACTTTTTCTCATGCCAGCAGCACAACCAACAAAGACCAACATCGTTGGCTAGGATCTAGCCCAACTTGAAGTACAAGTGTTTCAACCAAAACAACAATGCCATATAACCATTCCTACTCAAAAATCGTTACTTGGTAAAACGACATCGTTCCAGAAATTCGTTCATGCTTTTGAAATTTTTATGAATTTTGAGAAGTCAATGGACCGACCATTCCATATAGTGGAATGACCGTTCACAATGGTGGAATGATCATTCCATAAACCTTAGAGTTGAGCAAAAGTATTTGTTATGTTAGGAGTGATCGTTCACGATGGTGCAACGACTATTCCTCTAGGTACTGTAGCTTTCTAGAAGTGGATTAAATGTAGCAATGACTCTTAATTTCAAAAGGGGGAGACAAGCAATAAATAGAGCGATATTGTGCAAGAGAAATAGAGAGAAAATCAAAGAGAAAGACAAGTTTTATAAAGAGCCTTCTCACATAATCCCTTGAGCTAAAAAATTCAAATCATTAACTCACTTGTACTTATATTGAAAACCTTGTATTATTGCTCTTATTGTGTGTACAAGTCTAGTTTGAGAGGCAATCAGTCACAACTTTTATTCATACATCTTGTGGGTGAAATCCTATGAATCTAAGAGGCGAAATCTTATCAAACTATTTTAAGAAACAAAATCTTGTCAAACTAGTGTAAAATGTGCAATTCGATTATAGTAAAACTTCAAGAAGGACCTTGAAGAAGTAGATGTAAGAGTCTTGTGGATAGAGTTTTGAACCACTATAAATCTCTGAGGATTTTTTCTCTCTCAACTCATTTTATATTTCCTACACATTTATTGCTTATCTGTATTGTTGATACTTGATTATAACTTGTGTGGGTGGTGAAAGTTTTTATTCCGCATTTATTTTCATTGATTATAACATGCAAGGTATAATTTGTCATATTTGGTTTCACATCAACTTCTACAACAGTAACAATACAACGAATCAAACAAAAGTGAATAACAAAATGACAGAATCAATTTGAAGTAAAAAGTAATCAAAGTTTACAAAAGTAATCAAAGTAACACAGTTAAGTTAGTTTACCTAGTTAAGAGATTAAGGACAACGCCACAATGGCATAAAGCGGAGAAAACCACCGCAAAAAACCATCGCAATATCAATAGTATGGTCGGAAGAAGTATTTGAGAGCAAAATCAAATGGAAAGTCGAACACAAGAGACTGGCAGCAGCTAATTCGAAGAAGGGAAGAACGAATGCAGCTAATTCCAATTTTTTCCCCTAATTCTTTATTCAATAACCAAAATTACATAATACCCTCATAATTTTATGAAATATCATTTAACCTTCGGTTCTCACCTAGATCTCAATTCTAAGTCTGATTCTGGTTCTGGCTCTAGTTCTAGTTCTGGTTCCAACCAATGGTAGGACTAGAACCCAGTTCCACCTATTAGGGAACAGAAACCAAACTTATGTAGGCTGATTCTAGGTAGAAACCGAAACTAGGTAAGACGCTGTGTAGGTAGGTTCTGGGTAGGAACCGGCGGGTACCCGGGTAGGACCTCGAGTACCCGACAGTTCTGATTCTACCCTAATTTCATGCTCACCCTTAGCTGGTTGTGTTGCTGGCCTGAGGGAAAGGCAACGAATTTTCGCTTTTTCATTTTTATAAATATTTATTTTATTTTTTAAATTCTTAAACACTTCAACGTTTTATTAGATAAAATTATTCTAAAAGATTTATTTTGCTTTCAATTTTCTTGTAACTTATACAATAATTGATTTGCTCTCGTTTTCTATTAAGTGTCCCTAAACTGAACAAATTAAAACTTGTGTTCTTTTTTTCCCAAAATTGAACAAAGTTACTATTTTAGTATCTTTAAATTGAACAAATTGAAACTTGTGTCCATTTTTTTAGCATTTGATGGACAAATTATACCTAACTTGATAATATTCTTTAAATTTTGGTGACGGAGATACCTAAATTGATAATATTCTTTAAAGTATTGTGTTTGGTGATGGAGTTAGATATTTTATAGAGCTTTGTCAAATTGTCGATAAAATACTGTTGAATGTTTTCGCCACTTCATTTTCATTGATTAATTTATTCTGTTTTTATTTTTTATTATATTCACATTACTTTATAGGGAAATTGTTATGTACACAAAATCATCATCTTAAATATGTTATGCATCTGCATTATTCTCCCTGCATGATTTTTAAAATTGAATGGTTTGAAACTGATTATAAAATAATTAATTTTTTAAAAGGACTCTAAAAGCTAACTACGCTTTTCAAAAACAGATTCTTTNCACCTTCTCAGTAGAGTTCCATGTCCCTCACCCCTCTTAATTTCTGATTTAGGAATTGAACATGACCTAGGTCAAACTAGTTGTGAAGTTAGGGCAAGTAGTGTTCCTGTGAATAAGCAATTGAATCCAACCTACATATTGTGGAAGAGAACTGATAAATTTTTAGTCAGTTGGCTTTCAGCGTCAATCTCAGAAGGTATGTTTGGGAATGTATCAAAATGCCAAAGTGCCATTGAGATTTGGTTTGTGTTAGAAAATGAGTTCATCATAGACTCAAAAGCCAGAGCCTTATACCTCAAAAATCTTCTTCAGACAACACAAAAAGAAAACCTAAGTGTAGGAGACTATATCAAGAAGATGAAGGAAATTGCTCAAAGTTTATCAGCCACCTTTCAAACTCCATGGGCATGTTTGGCTTATTATTTCTGCCCATATTCCCAATTCTATTCTTCAAATAATGTTTGGCACATTATTCCAGAAATATTATCCTATTTTTTAATTACTTTTAGACCCCATAAGGTTATTAACTTCATTAAATACCCCCTGAAAATAGTTTAAAAATTAACAAAAACACCCCCATGACCCATACTTGCCAGATTCCTGCAACCACCGAATCTGCCACAATGGTGAATTACCAACCGGAACTGGCCGGAAAAGGTCAGATCTGGCCATCAGCGATGGCTAAAGAAATGGTCGTCGTTGACGGTCAATGACGGCCAAATCTTGGTCATCGTTGACCGAAAACGACGGCCATATCTTTGGCCGATGGTCGTCGTTTTAGCCTTCTCCAGCCGTCGCAGCACAGTAGGCCGTAGATCTGGCCTTTTTTGGCCAGATCCGTGGTGGATCTGGCCTTTTTTTGCCAGATCCGTGGTGGATCTGGCCGGAAAAGGCCATAACGACGCGTTACGACACAGATCAGACCAGTCTATCTCGTAACGCGATTTTTCGACCAGATTCTGACGGTGGTGGCCGGAATCTGGTACTGCAGGTGGTGGGGGTATTTTTGTCATTTTATATATTGGGGTGTTTAATTAAATTAGTAAACCTATAGGCTTTTTTATAAATTTTTAAACTTTACCTCGTAATACTCTCCTATTCAACTACCCAATATTATTCCTAAAATCATATCCAAAATAATAAACCAAACGCACCCCATATTGTTTCTTCATTTACATACATTCCCAGAGTCACAATTTCAGGATTCATATTCGGGAGTGTATAGTATACTGAATAATATTTAACAAATAATTAGTCTGATAACGTAAGTATTGTTTCATCGATATCTTAATGAATAATTCAGATTATTGGAAAGAGATCACTTTATTTGTTATAAACTTTCCATACAATTTTCAATCTGTATATATTAATTTCCATTAAAGTTCTGTGTCTTTAGCTTAAAGTGTTGATAATGCTCTCTAATTATTAATTATTAGCGTGTGGAGACCACGTCCTCACTTTAATTTACTAATTTATTACGCACATCAAAGCTACGTACGTAGTTTAACAANTCATCGATATCTTAATGAATAATTCAGATTATTTGTTATAAACTTTCCATACAATTTTCAATCTGTATGTATTAATTTCCATTAAAGTTCTGTGTCTCTAGCTTAAAGTGTTGATAATGCTCTCTAATTATTAATTATTAGCGTGTGGAGACCACGTCCTCACTTTAATTTACTAATTTATTACGCACATCAAAGCTACGTACGTAGTTTAAAAAAATGGTAAAGAATTAGATGATGGGATTATGTGAGTAATATAGGCTTCGTTTGTTTTGTTTTTGAGAATATTATTATTAGTATTTCCAAAAAAGCTAAATAGTCAAATATCATTATTCCCAAAATATTATTCTATATTTTTCAATTTATTTTAAACTTTTTAAATTTGTTAATTTAACTAAACAAACACTTTCAAATATTTTTTTTTTTAAATTGTAAAAATACTCCGGCCACCCTCCAACGGTGGTGGCCAGCTGTCTGTATTTAATGGATAGATTAGAAATGTTTTTGTTAACTTTTAATATTTTATTATAGGGGTATTTAGTAAATAAATAAACATATGAGATATTTTTGTTAATTTTCAAATCTTACATCATAATGCCCGACCAATTTAACTTTTTTAAAAAGATTCTTCTAAAAACTATCAGAATAATAAACCAAACGGGGTCATAATATGTGTCATCATCCATTCATTAATAATCAATCCATAACTTGGAAATTACTAGACACTGAGAGGAGGAAAGATTGGGGGTCAGGGAGACTTTTCTTCTTATCTTTAAATCAATTCTTTTATTAGTTGAGTGATGATTTCTGCGATTTTGTGATTAATTATAATATAAATTCGTTGTATATAGTTTATTGTTATCTATGGATTGATTAGATCTCAAATACAAGATGCTAAATCTACTGCGCCGCCAAATTAATTTCATCCATTACTGTATATGTTTCAACGTTCTGATAAAACAAGATGCATGCATTACATGCAACTGCAGTAATACGCAGCCTCAGACTATTTAGGGTCAAAGTTATGCAACTTCATTGCAGACTACGAAGAGACTTAGAAATATATTGTTCATTTCTGCCTGGAATTCTACACACATTATATTGTCATTATTTCAACTTACGCAGCAACTTCCTTTCCTTTCATTTCTCTATTTCTTTATCCAACTTCGGAAAATTCTTTCAAGCCACATCAATCTCTCTGTATATAACCCTCATCTCATCCACCATTTTTACCAAAATTCATCAAACTCACTAATTCTCAAGCCAATTGTTAGTAAACTAAACATGGGGAAGAGCAGCTGGTCTTTGCTTAGCAGCCTGAGAATGGCCGTTAAGAAGCTGAAAATGTTGCTGGACCTGAACTTAAGTCGGTGGCGTATTGCTTCGATGATCGGTGCTTCTTCAAGCCACCGTTTATTCAGCTTGAACGACTGGCCAGGCTTGAGGGCATGCACGGAAGAAGATATGGAGTCGTCGTGGGACGAGTCGAGTTCAGTTTCGAGATCAAGATCGCTTCACAGAACGATAAGTTATACTTCCGATCAGGATGATATCGACAAGAGAGCTGAAATGTTTATTGCTAATTTTCATAAACAACTTCAGATGGAGAGACAGATCTCTTTGAAGCTTCGTTATTGTAGAGGAAACAGCTCTGGATCTTCTGTTTCTCCTTGAGGATTTGACCATGGAGTCTCTGTGAAGAAGCCTGTGTTTTTTTTTTCTGAGAGGTTTTCTATGCAGATTTAATTGCACAAAATTTTTTTGATTTATTTTTTTAATTTTAATTTCTTTCTTGTGTTGGATTGTATTTGAATTTTCTTCTTCATGTTCGTTTATTCTTTAATTTAATTTAATTTATTTTATACAATGTAATTAAAGATAATAGGTAATTGTCATCTATTTATGAGTAGTGTTATAAATGTGACAATTAGTTTGTAATGAAAGGGAATATTCCTATTAAATTCTTGATAATAATTCTCTTTTAATTATTATTTTAAATACTTATTTTATGATGTTGATTCAGTAGTTGTTGTATCAAAATTATTCTTTTTGGGAGTACCTGAAGTGCGAGCATGATTTTTAATTTTTTTAATTAATATTTCTGGGGAACATTTCATGAATAATATAAACGTAAGTTCATGGTGATCATCGATCGAACAGTTGGTTCATTTTCCTGCAAAACCGTGTGGAAGACCAACTTTTCTGTCTTTAATATTATTCCACGAAGAATATATATATATATATAATTTTGATGTTATAATTTCAACAACCAACAAACTCATGTATAATTGTTGAGTGGATTATATAACAAGTTGTTGGACTTGGAAGCAGTTGAAATTTCATTTCTATTTCCTCTTTTTCTAGGTAATAAACTTAATTTAGTGCTTAATCAAGAAATTAATAATCACACATTGTCTTAATCTTTCTTGGTTGTTCACCAACAAATTGACTCCGATTGTGTTAATTTTAATTAACTAAGGTCCATGACAATATCTCTTTTCTTTTTTTAAACAAAGTGTTCAGTTCAGTCTCCCACTTAAATCGGATCATACTCGAAAGAAACTAACGCAACAACCCATCCGATAATACTCAGAATATTCGGGAGAGATTAGCGCAACAACCCACTGGGTAATACTTGGAAGATATAAGCGTAGCAACCCACCGGGTAATACTCCACGGTCTAATACTAGGGAAAGACTAACGCAATAATTCATCATCACTTTCTCTCCTTTAAATTGCAGATACTTAGATAAAGAATCGAAATTCGTTCTAATTAACCATCTGAATTACCTATAGATGTTCAATTATAGTATCATTTATGCTTAAGTTTCATATAATTGCTCAAAATTTAGATCATTGTAATAGTCCAGGTCATATAGTATTACTAGGAAAATAATAGTCCTCCATGATCTTTCATTATAATTTACAAGCTTACTAAGAAAAACAATTAGTCTTGTTCTGACTTTTGTCTTAATGTAACAACAAAAACAAATTGTTATTTTAATTTCACAAATTATGATAAAATTGAAGATAAATTTCTTCCAAATTTTATATTAGACAAAATAATTAATTAATCACGTCAATCTTATCCAAAAGATATTGGCTTAATTGGTTATGCTATTTTCTAAAGTTAATTCCGGAAAAAATCTTTAATAGAAGGTAATTCAAGAGTCAAAATATATATATGCAATATAAAAATTTATTAAATTAACGATGTGGGACAAATACATCTACAATAATCCTTAAATTTGTTTATATTTATTTCTTATAATTTTGAATCTTGCTATAGTTATTCTTTAATTTAAACTGAACGAATGTTTCTTGGCAATTTTCCGAAGCAACTGTGTGATTTAACTATATAAGAAGGTTTCAGTCTCATGGATGGAACGCCAATTCTAATTTTGTAGGTTAAATTGAGGTTTCTTCGGATCAGGGAGGGATGGGAATTTGTTGGTCAGGTGATGTTGAAGGAGGAAAACAGGCTGTGGGTGGGGCCCAGCTCCAGGCCACTATGTCCCACAACAATTTTGGCACCAACGACGCCATTGACTTCTTCTTCAGAGCTCGTGGTCTCACTGCTCTGTTCTCACAAATCGAGGTATCTTTATACAGGGACGAATCTTGGAATGTTATTCTCTTTTTTTTTTTTTTTTTTAATTTTAATTTTTTTTTTTTCGTTGTCTTGGTTTTATTTTATGCCCAGGAATTTTAAATGAAACAGTACATTCTTTTACGAACTTAGCTACAGTGTTTTTTCTTACCTAACCAGTATTTTGTAATATTCAAACACTAATTTAAAACAATTAGAACATTGATAATATTTTTATTTTTTTCTATTATTATTATTTTATTTTATTTTTAAGTTTGAAGGGTAGCAAAGGAGTTTTTATCAATTATTTAATCAAATTGTTTAAAGTGTCTGTAAATTTTTGGAATTATTTTACTTTGTAGAAATTTCTATATAAGAGTTGAATTTATTTTGATGTTTGATATCTTGATGAGGTTGGTTTGGTGTTCTATTACATGGGTTCTGTAACAGTAATTAATGAGAAAAAGGAGGAACCTTTGCATACAAGGGAAGTTTGTTCTGTTCAGATGTTTGATGTTGAATTTATTTTGATGTTTGATGATTTATGATGAGCAAGTGCTTTGGTTGTAGCCCAGAATTTAAACGGAGCAGTGATGGATTAGTATCCCATTCCCAGTATTGATTAGATGGTGCAGAAGCAATTTTACTGCTTGGTTCAGAGAAATGCAATATGATCAAAAAGTTAAAACCAAGCATGCTTATGAATATACGAGGCTCTGGTCATCATTCATCACTAAGTTTATGAAAATCTCCTGTGTCTCTGAAACTAATTTCTTGAGGAATTTTTAATTGATGCGACTCCTGTACAAGTCTTTGCATGTGTTCTGGAGGTTGACTTTTTTGTTACATGTTTTGAAGTTGGCGGATGCTTCCCAAGATGAAACATAGATTTGTAGATGGTCTTCAAACATGTGAGGATAAGAAAAGGCCATTAAGCTAAATATTAAATCTGCTTAATTTGACATCGAAATGGGTGTCGATGCACCAAAAGCATAAGAAATATGAAGTTTAGACGGTATAATTTACAGGATAAATCATGTGTATCCTGGACCATCAATTGCTTTTTTTTTTGTTTTTTTATAGATGTGGTCCTTTTCTGAGGGCCTACGTGGGTTCATCTGTTTGTAAGAGACAGTCATATGCTACCAAAATAAGTGGACCCTTCTAATCAAAATGTGCTATGAAGAGTTGAAAATATAATTTGCGTACGGCTTCTCTATGCATGTGACAGATATTATTTCCAGTCAGTTAACCAACATCATACAACTAGCAAGGGTGGGATCCATTTATTTTTTAATTGGAGATAGTTCATATATCTATACGAGTGGATTGTTCATTTTCTTTTCTTTCTTTGCTCACTTAGTACATGCACCCATCTATTTTCCTTCTCTAATTTATTTATGTAACTTGATTATTTCTTGCAGTTATCTCTATCTACTTCAAAGTTACTTGATCGAGATATAACATCTAAGGTGTGTTCATATTATCATTATCTTTATTCCTGATAAAGGTATGTTCATGTTGCTGGTGTCTTAACATATAATTTTGTCTTTGAGGAAAGTTTGTCTATATGTAATTAAACTAGTTTTGTATTTTCTATTTCATTAAGGGACTCTTAAGGTTATGACATACTTATAAACCTTTATTTATCGTAGAGTGATCCGATGACAATTGTTTATGTGAAGAAAAGAAATAGGACACTAGAGGAGATAGGACGTACAGAAGTCATTTTGAACAACCTGAATCCTTCTTGGATTGAAAAAATCTCAATCGTTTACCAATTTGAGATTGTCCAGCTACTGGTGTAAGATTATCGTAAAATCTTAAGCTTATTATTTATTATTATTATTTTTTAATAGAGCTTTCACATCTCATAATTCATGTTTTGCTTTGACATTTTCTCATGTTTCTGTCTTTCTTTATTTTATTTTTTTCATTTTCCAGCTTTCATGTGTATGATGTTGATACGAAGTACCATAATCTACCCGTGAAGGTATATCAAAATTTCTACTCTAACGTTGTATTTGTTTTGCATGATCCTGGTTTGAGATATTTTCATTTAGACCATGTTTTATTGAGCAGGAAAATTTAATGTTGCAAGGGCAACTGACAATTTGTTTTCCAGAGTGGAAGGTTGATCCATGTTAATTTACTAGTTCTATTTTGAAAGATAACTACAATGGAATGATTTCTTACTTGACTTGTAGAAGTTGTATAAAGAATGACCCAAATGATTTAGTGGAAATAGTAATTAAACCTTCGGAGCTATCATATATTCTTTCTTTATACAAAAGCGAACACACAGTCCACTAAAGGACAAATTTGAGAAAACAATAAAAAACTATACATCATGAGACAGACCAAAAGTGGCAATCTTAAAAAAATGATCGAAAAACGTGCCAAAGGCTCCCAACAGTCAACTATAACGTAGCCCAAAATTCCCTCTAAATTGAAGTGAGTGAAGAAGAAAGGAGGATGTCGAAAACAAGAAAAAGCTAGCATGTATGCATGCATATAATTTTGATTGAATGATAAGAAGATTCTTTAGTTGTAGTGATCAGGAAATGTTTGCTCAAAACAGTTAGGCAAACCATTGATTTGATGGTCATTCATAACATTTGAGATAGTAAAGAGTCCTTCCCTACAGTTTGTGTTCATATGAACTGTATGCAAATGAAAGATCACATGAACAATCTAGATGGATGGATTTTTAGACATTGAGAGGAAATATGTTGGATTAGATCAGAGAGATGAATCTTCAGACTGAAGTAACATAAATTAGAATGAGGAAGTTACAAGACAAGGTGAAGCAATAAAATTCTAAAGTATCCTATGATCCTTTGCTGCAATGGTCCCAAATAACTTTAAAATCATTGTTATCAAATAACGAAGCAATCGAAGTTTAAACTTCTTGAGTTGTGTTACCTTGCAGATGCTTAAGTTGAAAGATCAGGACTTCTTGGGAGAAGCCAGTTGTGCCTTGTCTGAAGTAAATTCCTTGATCAATTTTTTCGTTTTCTGTTTTTATTCAGAATATATATGTTGATTTATTGAATGGGTAAAACATGTGCATAGATCCATTTCA